ATTTAGAATTAACAGAAACATGATGTAGGATAAGTTTAAATCTGTATATATTAAGATTATGGTATATCAAGTGTTAAAACGGAGTGTTCAACATTGAGATAATTTGAATAAGTTGGATATGAAAACGGAACGATTGATGTTCCATGTTGTTGCTTGTTTTACACTTCATACTTTGCACTAATTTAAAAATGATGTATGTTACAAATAATGGACGATCCAACCGGGTTCTATGTTGAACGTTTAGCTAAACTAATGTATGTTTAAACTTATAATGACAAAGTAAAAAAGAAAAGTGATGCATGATAAAAAAAATGTCATGGATGATGCCATGATGGTGTTGAAAGTAAAAAAAACAGAGGAAATATAAATTATCGAAAATATGCATTATGACAAATTTAACAAGGCCCAACATGATGACATGACTTTAATCTTATCAATTAATATCTAATATCAGCCAAACTGGTGTAAATAAATAGCACAAAAGTCATTTTCAAAAAGTCAGTTACCAAGCATGATGAGAAAGTGTGATGCCTTCAAATCTAATGGGGTGGTAGCTAGCTGGTAGAAACAACTCTATAGAATCCGGTAAATTAAACATACGGATCAGTTGTTACCTTACATCACAAATATAGTCATATTAGATTATAGAGCAGTAATCTACGAGAATTAAGAAACCAGCTAACAATTTACACAAATTAAACAACTAAGTACTTTGTACCATTTAGATTAAATCTTAAAAACGTTTAAAATTAACTACTCGTACTGTCGTACTTTTCCATATCCAGGTGCAAGAAACTGTACAGAAAGTATTCAAATCTTGAAAGGATCACATTCAAAAAGAAAGAAGGAAAAAAAAATCATTTAACATAAAACTTTATGTTAATACTTATATCTAAAAATATAATTTATGATAAAATATGTTTTTATTAGGTTAGCAAAAAATTATGATCAAACCTAATACATGAATAGTGAAAAAAAAAGTTATTCTGAAACAGAGGGAAAATACGACAACATTTTAAGAGAATACATGAATAAAGACACTTGACAAAACTAACCAATACACAATCGATTACCTAATCCATAATACTTAACTAGGTTATTAAACCCTGTGCAATAAATGCATGATTGTTTAATACGGAGTAATTATACTATAACAAAATTATAAAACTACATAAAAAAATTAAGGACTCGACACCAATTATTAGGAAGTATGAAGTATATATATGTTCAAAAAAAATCGAGTATAATCGAGTAACGTTGTGCGTGTAGCACAGAACCTTGCGCATAAAACATTGCAACCCCATTTGTTCCTTACATGCACTGATCTACAGTACCACCTCTGTTACATATTAGTTGTAATTTTAATTTTTTCATATCTCACAAATACTCCCCTTGTTTTTAAATACTTGCTCCATTTCTCTTGGGCTTGTAGGCCGATGCTAATCTTTGATAATAATATCTTTAATTATCAATAAGTATAAGTAACAATTGAAAATTAATAATCTATTCATTGAGACAATTCCAACAAGTACCCACAAGACTATATTTTTTTTTTCTTATGTATAAATCACAAACATTAGTCAAAGTAGGACAAATAAATAGTGCAAAAAATAGAAATAAAGCAAGTATTTAAAAACGAAGAGAGTAATATCCTAAAATTACAACTAATATGTAACGGATGTAGTAGAACACTTTCCAATATTTTGTTTCTCGGCTATTAGAGTAATATATACGTGATTACTTGGGGAGTTGGGGAGCACTTTTGGGTTTGTTTAGGACCATTATGTAAACATTTTATACTTTTAAGCCGTTAAGCATTATTGTATTAAGACTCCTCGTATTATTATTTTATCTATTTTATCCATTATAATGAAGAGAAGTTCTCAAATTCCTCACTTTCTTACGTTTCTTGTTAACCTTCTTCATTGCTCGTTTTATTATTTCATTACTAAGTTATGCCTGGTTATTGGGTGGGTTGGGTCTGGGTGGGTTGGATCAGGGTCGGTGTAGGTCAAGTTAAAAGGATCATATTTTATAGGGCTAATAGCGGATCGGGTCATTGCGGGTTGCGGGTCTATGTTAGGTTGATAACGGGCGGACCAACAAACTAATAATTAAAATAAATACTAGATTAATGCCCATGTGATGCACGGTAATAATAATTTTTTTTTTCATAATTAATTTGTGATATAATATAAAATAAGGCAACTCATGTGGAGTAAACAAATGCAATGCATATAAAAAAGATGAAATAATAAGGTAAAAATTATTAAAACTGCAATTGAGAAAAAAAAATACTATTTTTCATTAGTTGTGTTGAAAATATTTAAAAATAATATACATTATACTACATTAATGATGCATGATATTACCAATAAAACTATACAATGTAGATGTAGTATGACTTTTTATTAAGGAAAAATTCATGGGAATAATCCCACCTTTGGGCCATTCGCTTTTAATAATCCTACCATTGAGATATTTTTTAATAATCCGACCTTTACCCCCCATTCTTTTTTAATGGTCCAAACCGGTCATGTAACCTGTTATAACAGGTTATATGACACGTGGCGGCCTGTGATTGGTCAAACAAATAATAATAATAAAAAAACAGCCAGCCACCAGGCTAGCCCCCTGCCGCCGGTACATGCTCCGGCAGGCACGCCGGCGGCTGCCGGCCTCCGTTCCCTTTCCCTCCTTCCTCAACAACTCCATTTTTAAGCTTAAAGAAGACAACAATGGAGGAAACTTCATTGAAGCTCACGTATGGAGTTCATGGCATAATGGGAACCTACTCATTTCTTCACCAAAATGCATGAAATTTGTATCAAAATGCTCACAATCCAACGTATATTCATTTGGTGCAACGAGTTACAAGAGTAGCTTAACCTAACAAAAAGCCCCAAATTGATTTTTTTTAGAGTTCTTAGGGGAGGGGGTTTCGAGGTTTGCTAGTGATAGGAGAGATGGTTTGGGCCGACGTCGGTGTTAGTAGTGGCTGGTGCGTGGTGGGGGTTACTGATTTCAAGGGTGGGGGTCTTGGAGGGTGCCGGAATTTGAGTGGGGGTTTTGGGCGTGTTTGGTTCAGGGTGGGGGTTTTCGGGTGGGGATTGGCCGGTTTCGGGTGGGTTGTGGCCGGAAAGACAAGGTGGCTGGAAAGAGAGGTGAAGGGGAGGGTGGCCGGAAAGGGAGGTGGTGAAGGGGAGGGTGGCCGGAAAGGGAGGTGGTGAAGGGCATGGTGGCCGGATTTAATGGAGGAAGGGAGAAAATTGGAATTTTTTTTTATTTTAATTTATTTTAATTTTTTGACCAATTAAGTAACGACACGTGTAAATTAAACTTTTAAAAAAAAATTTACCTACTCAACCGGTTCCATGTAAAATGGGACCATTAAAAAAGAATGGGGAGTAAAGGTCGAATTATTAAAAAATATCTCAAATGTGGGAGTATTAAAAACGAATGGCCCAAAGGTGGGATTATTCCCATGAATTTTTCCTTTATTAATGAATTAATTTAGTTAAGAAAAAAAATGCTATACAATGTACTTCCAAAACATAAACTAAGTAGAATAATTTATTTTTGTACGAAATTAAAGCTGACATCATATATTGTATTGGCAGGAAATTTTTTAATGATAGCTTGATATATGTCCAAAATGATCAATGTAAGCATGACTTATATTAGTAATAGTTAATAGATTTTTTACAAGAAAAAAAAAGTTATAAGTTGGTAAAATTATTACAGAAAATAGAAAACAAACTCAATTATTATTATTTCATAAGATTTCAAATCAACACCATGAATATAATTTTTTTTTTTTCATTGAACCCCCACTATTGTATAATGGTTAATTTAAATGTTAATATTGTATTTTTGGCTCCGTTATATATTTTATACTCTCCACCATATATCAACCTTTTAAATTATGGATTATTCTCCCTTAATTAAAATGTCTCAAAATGTTGTGTAACTATTTTAAGTTATAAAACACGAAGTAAAAAGAAATATAATTATCATAAAAATGATACATAAAATTAGGAATAATATATTATTAAAGTTGTATTATACAAATATTCCAAAAATAAAAGATTTTTGCTAAAAAGGGAGGGGGAATTTTAGAGGGGAAAAACAACAACACCAGAAAGTGACAAGTGTTATTCCTAGTGTCTGTTTTAGTATTATATTATTGATTGGACAAAGCCATTATTAAGTATATATAAATACAAAAATATCAATGTTTTTATTTATTTATTTATTTATTTATTTATTTATTTATTTTATTTATTTATTTATTTTTTACATTATCTAATTTCTTTATGTTTTAAATTTAACAAATATTTTGGCTCTATACCCAATAAGTGTCTTTTCCATTTAAACTTAACCTTGACTTTATTATCATTGAGCTACCTTATCCAATAACCAGATTTAATTTGGATTAAATAATCAGATTGCCACCTCTACATGGATGCAACAGGAAGAAGAGGGTTTGCATTAGGTCACAATTTTATTTTATTTTTTCTGGCAGTTATGTTTCGTCACCTTGATAACGTTATTTGATGACGACTGCCTCTGCAACACCGTCATTTGTAAATGGAAAAATATAACTAATGGACAAATGGCTACCTTTATACGTAGTAGACTAGTAGTTATTTAGAGTACAATCACTTGACTTGTTGACTATTGCCTAAAGACTTGGGCAAGTCTATACAAAATTTGCAATTATTATTAACTTTTTCTTTCTAACATATCCTAATTCTATAAAGATAAGAAAATGGTAGGAAGTTGTCCCACAAATAAAGTGTTAGGAAACTACTCCTTTAAAAAGGTAGTTACTTCACAACAAACATAAAATATAGAAAGTTATTTAGAAAAGTAAACCCCAAATTAATAGATACGTCCGGTACAGTAAATTTATACTTCGTAAATAATAATTTTGTGTAACTACATATTACTATATTAATACAAATCAACATACATTATACATGGTCCATAATCTAAGAAAGAGTAAAAAAAGGGATGAATATTAGAGTGAAATTTACATGAAATTACATCCATACTTCTATAGGAGTCAAGAGTTTAGCAGTTACTCTATATAATATGTAGTAAAATCTTTCTGAATGCATAGTTCTAAAGATCATACACTTTGACAGCCATGGAGTTACACCAACGTAACACCACAAAAAATGCTACTCACTCCGATAATAATTCACCCTTTCCGGTCAAAACTTCGAGTCGATGGAGTTTGCCGTGCAAAGCAGTTTACTTCATTGTTACACTCTCCAAAAAAGCAAACAAAAACACACATCTCTACAAAAGAGTACTTATCCGTTCTCCGCCTTATGTCGTGCTTGATGTAGAAACTGATTCTGTTTCTTCTATCCATGACAACGTACAAGGATCGTCGTTGTTGTCGTTGTCTTCCTTCTCTATTAACCAACAAACCCTCACTTCCATCACAAGGGACAAGAACCTTGAATCACTTTCGCAACTTGGCGGTGTAAAGCATCTTGCTTCAACACTAGGAACCAACAATGAAATTGGTGTAGATAGCACTAACACTCCTGATATTTTGCATCGAAAGAGTGTTTTCGGGTCTAATTGTTTCCGAAAACAGCCTAATAAAACCTTCCTCAGTTTCGTAGTTGAAGCCTCGAAAGACACCACAATCATCATTCTTTTGATATGTGCTTGCCTCTCCTTAGGATTTGGCATGAAGCAGCATGGCCTAAAAGAGGGGTGGTATGATGGGGGAAGCATCATTATAGCAATATTCCTCGTTGTTTCGGTTTCTGCCATCAGTAACTTCAAGCAGAGCCGACAGTTTGAAAAGCTCTCTAACATTGGCAGTGACATACAGGTTGAAGTATTGAGAGATGGATGCCGCCAACATATATCCATCTTTGAAGTTGTTGTGGGAGATATCGTGTATTTGAACATAGGAGATCAGATTCCGGCTGATGGGTTATTCTTGGATGGTTATTCCTTAAAGGTAAATGAATCAAGCATGACCGGAGAAAGTGATCATGTCGAAGTGGATGACAGGAATAGCCCTTTTTTGTTCTCTGGCACAAAAGTGACAGATGGTTATGGGAGGATGTTGGTTACTTCAGTAGGGATGAACACTACATGGGGTGAAATGATGAGTTCCATAAGTCGAAATTTGGATGAAGAGACTCCATTACAGAAACGGCTCAATAAACTCACTGCATATATTGGTAAGGTTGGGGTTCTTGTTGCATCACTTGTTCTTATTGTACTGTTGCTTCGGTATTTCACAGGACACACTTTAGATGAACATGGAAATAGAGAATTTAATGGATCGAAAACAAGTACTAATGATGTAATGAATGCAGTCATAGACATTGTTTCTGCAGCGGTTACCATTATTGTTGTAGCCATTCCTGAGGGTCTCCCCTTAGCTGTGACTTTAACTCTTGCTTATTCGATGAAGAAGATGATGGGAGATAATGCCATGGTGAGGAAACTCTCTGCTTGCGAAACTATGGGTTTGGCTACTACTATATGCACAGACAAAACCGGTACACTCACTCTTAACCAAATGAGTGTCACTGAATTTTGGCAGGGCAGAGAAGTGGTTCAGAATCCCTTCTCTTTATCAAAGATTGTTCTCGAGTTGCTTTATCAAGCAGTTGGCTTGAATACAAGTGGAAGTGTCTGTCAATTGCCTTTTGCAATAGTTCCTGAGATATCTGGCAGTCCGACTGAGAAAGCAATCCTAAAATGGGCTATATGTGATTTGGAGATGCAGATGGAAAAACTGAACAATAATTTTGAGGTTCTGAAAGTTGAGGCCTTCAACTCTGAGAAAAAGCGAAGTGGGGTTATGGCTAGGATGATGAGCGACATTAAAGTAGTGCAAGTGCATTGGAAGGGAGCAGCAGAGATGATTTTAGATATGTGTTCGAGTTATTATGATCAAGGAGGGATGCTTGTGAGGTTGGAGGAAGAAGATAATAAATATTTCCGGGGAATAATTCAATACATGGCAGCACAAAGCCTAAGATGCATTGCTTTTGCTCACAAACAAGGAAACGAAGGCAATGCCACACAGCAGCTTGATGAGAGTGGCCTCACATTGCTAGGTATAGTTGGGTTGAAGGATCCATGTCGGCCTGGTGTCCGAGAAGCAGTGGCATCATGCAGGAAAGCAGGAGTTAGTGTGAAAATGATTACTGGGGACAACATTTTCACTGCGAAAGCCATTGCTGCAGAATGCGGAATCCTCAAACCTGATGACCAATCATTACATGAAGAAGCTGTCATAGAAGGTATTCAGTTCAGAAATTACTCTTCTGAACAAAGAATGGATAAAATTGACCACATTCGAGTAATGGCAAGATCATCCCCGTTTGATAAGCTCCTCATGGTCCAGTGCCTAAAAGAAAAAGGCCATGTAGTGGCAGTGACAGGTGATGGTACAAATGATGCCCCTGCTCTTAAAGAAGCCGATATTGGGTTATCAATGGGTATCGAAGGGACTGAAGTCGCAAAGGAGAGCTCCGATATAGTCATCCTAGATGACAACTTTGCTTCAGTTGTCACCGTCTTAAGGTGGGGTAGATGTGTTTACAACAACATCCAGAAATTCATTCAGTTTCAACTCACAGTAAATGTGGCCGCGCTTGTAATCAACTTTGTTGCTGCAGTTTCTTCAGGAAATGTTCCTTTGACAGCAGTCCAACTGCTGTGGGTGAACTTGATCATGGATACCTTGGGAGCATTAGCTTTGGCAACTGAAGAACCAACAAATGATCTCATGGAAAAAACTACTGTACCTGTAGGAAGAACTGAGCCACTCATAACCAAAGTCATGTGGCGAAACCTCATTGCACAAGCCTTTTATCAGATGACCATCTTGCTGATCCTACAGTTTAAGGGTCAGTCAATCTTCGGAGTACAGGAGAAGGCGAAGGACACCCTCATCTTCAACTGTTTCGTGCTATGTCAAGTATTTAACGAGTTTAATGCAAGAAAGCTGGAGAAAAAGAACATATTTAAAGGTATTCTTAAAAACAGGTTGTTTCTAGGGATAGTTCTGATTACTGTTCTTCTTCAAGTGGCAATGGTAGAATTTCTCAAGAAATTTGCAGGTACTGAAAGGTTGAATTGGGTTCAATGGTGCGTATGCATAGCACTTGCTGCGATCAGCTGGCCCATCGGCTGGCTCGTAAAATGTATTCCGGTTTCCGACCAGCATAGCAATCTCTCGGCCCGCAGTTAAAATTCCTGCCATTGACCATAAAACAAACATCAGTGTCAATCTGACTCATGATAAAAGAAAAAGTTTTTGCTGATACTAATCTGAGTCATTGCATATACTTTTTAGTCAGTGGATCTAGAATAGTACAAATTAAGACTTTATGGAATAGTTTGTCAATAATGAAATGCTTTTATTAAACTCCAACTTCATGGCAAATCTACATCAATAATACAATATGCAATTAACTATTATCAATCCAGACAACAAAGTGACTTTTTTTTTTCCTTGCACCCTAAAGCATGTATGCATATCATTATATCAAGAGTTGAGTATTGTAATTTTACACTTTCACTCTATTTTTTTTAGGAATAGTTTACTTTTGAGTCTTACAAAAAAAAAAAAAAAAAAGTATTAGGCTGGCCCATGTATTTCTTTTGGTTTTTTTTTTTTTTTTTTAAAGCATACCCTTTTTTTTTTTTTCTCAATGTTCTTCTTCTTTTTTCACCCACCTATTGCAAGTAACGGGAAACATAGGAAGAAAAATAGGGAAAACAAAGAAGTGGCAAAAGGGCAGGGTGAACTCGAGCAGGACTGGCGCTTACAGAGTAAAACATATGGTTCAAACTTCCAAGTTTGATGTATAAATCATACTGTGCTTCTATATCATACTGGTTTATCATCTTCTATATCTTCTCTTTTATTCATTTCTTTTTACCCCCACCTACTGTAAATAATGGAAATACAGGTAAGAAAAGTGAAGGAAAACAAAAAGGTGGCTAAAGGGAACGAAGAACTCGAGCAGACCTGTCACAGAGTAGAACATATGATTCCAAGTTTGATTCATAAATTATATTGTATTTGCATTGGAATATTGATAAGATTATAAAACCAAACATTAATATGGAGTATAATGTTAATATTTATTTATTTATTTATTTTTTTGCTGAGTTCAGTCTTTAAGATAGAAACTCTTTGAGGCCAAGCTGTCAACATTAGCAAGCTATCGCAATTCGTAAACATAACTCATTAATCAGGATCAGAAACCAATCTCCTGTAAAAATTTAACATTTCAATATATATGTGAAGAAGATATGTTTGGTTTAATGCACTATTATTAAGTAAATCTTGAAGAGGTATTGGGCACTTAAAAATTGTTCTTCCAATGAATATAGTAAACGTGAAATTATCCCTTTGGTGGTTGTTTTCTCTAAATGAACGTGACTTGAATTTTGTTATTATCTTTGTGAGAATTCCATTTCTCTCTTTTAATACCACCTTAGTAGGCACTTTTATTAGAATCAGAGCAGCTGTTAGGTGTTCTAAGATAACCACTTAATTTGTCACCCACCTTAGTGTTATCTCCATTTTTGTTTTTCAACTATCCTCAATAATCGTCCAGCAAAATCAAATACATCTTCCCCATGAATGCAAGTATGCAACCTTTTCTTTGCATAATGGGATGTATTTAATCAAGCATTTTCCCTCTAAATAAAACTAATTTAATTTGTATTCCAACAAATAAATAAATAAATAAATAAATGCATAATGTACTTTTTGCAAAAGAGAGCTGCAATGTAGTCATCCTATGACAACTTTGCTTCTGTTTTCACCGTCTTAGGGTAGGATCAATCCGTCTATAGCATCATCCTGTAAATGTCTCATCATCAACTTGTTGCAGCTATTTCTTCAGAAAATGTTCCAGTGATGGCAGTCCAACAATTGTGGGTGAACTTGATCATGATACATTAGGCAGCATCTTAAAACTAGTCTTGCAGTGAAATCTAGCAGAGACATCTTATCAGACAGCCGTCTTGCACCAGAACATTCAATTACTTGATCTTCAAGGTAGGGGAGACCGAAGAGAAAGACACCCTCAGCTCCATCTTTTGGATACATGTGCTGTGCCAAGTCCGACGAGTTCAATGCCAGATATCTGAAAGAACATACGACATTGAAGGTCTCTTGGCCTGCAATTAGAGCTTACTAAGTGCTGCCAGGGAACAAGAGAACAGCAATAGTCTTGGTTAGCTCATGCTGGCAAAAATTATTTGTAAATAACAATCAGAGACAATGTTAAGGCTTCTCAATCAGGTAATTTAGAGTAATACAATTTTCTAGGATTGTTATGTTTTCACAAACAAGAGTACAAATACTACTTTCCTGCACCTTAAAAGCAAAGAAATGAATAGCAAGAGCTGATTATTGCTTGTTGTTGTGCTCTGGGGTTATACATTACATCTTTCTGCTTAAATTTTCAGTAGCCAAAAAATTGATAATGTTTAGCTGAAGAAACCAGTTTTCAATAAAAATAAAATAATTAAAACAACAGGTTCCAACATACTCTACAATAGTTGTTGGTCCCATATCAATCTGCAAAATCATCTGATGTCTTTCTCTTCTAGATTTTATAAATTATAGCAGTCAACTGAGGGAGATTTTCCAATACATCTTAAATTTTTCCATGATCCATGGTGTACCTTTCCTTTTAACTTTTTGCATGACATACTCTTCAAATTCCATACAATTCTCTGAAAGATCCTCATCACAATACAACAGCCAGAGCATGAAGTCCTATACACCTTTTTCAAGTTTTGTATCGTATACTCTTGTTATTTGCAACTCAGCAAACTAGGTCATCCCAACCTCTCCCCAACTATAGACTCTAATTCTTCTTCGTTTGAATGTGATTGAGATCACATGCAAAGTCAGCTTTACTTTCAAATGGCTAGTGTTATGATAAAAGATATCAAGTATAATAAGAAGAAAGATGACCTCACAAGCAAGGTAATGCACACATTACACAAGTTAACATCTTCTTGTGAGATAATATAGTGCTTCTCTTATGATCCATTTGTATGGGACTTGAGTCCCACAATAATCGTATAGGGGGCTTTGGGTGGGCTCTTCTGTAATTATGTATCACCATCATTAAGAATGGAGTTCTTGGTGAGCATATTAACATGGCTGATGCAATTTGTCCATACTAAACAACAACCATCTACTATGTCTTAACAAGTTCTCGCAATATGGTTCATAAGTTTGCTTGAGTATAGCTATATATCTTTGATCTAATTGTTGTGCTTAAGCAAAAGGATTGTGGTTCGCGTTTAAACTATTGGCTCACAGGGTTGTGTATTAATGATTGGAAACAGGAAAACAATCACTTCAAACATGGTTCATAAAAATCAAAAGTGTGACCTAAGGCACATTAAACACCCCATCGAATGGGGCATTATTAGGACCTGAGCAGTTCTTCGTTAGGAACTGTTCGCGTGTAAATAAATCTAATTCTAAACTGCACTTCAGTGATTCATTGACTTCTCTAGCACAGACTTACTGTGAGATTAATTGAAGTCCACAACAGAGTATTTCTTGTTCAAAAGATTGCTCTTCTGTTTTTATCTTGTACATGTGAGGATAACCCCTGGATGAAGGCTATGTCCTACATGGATGCGGCTAATGTTTATTATATACTTGTAGTATTTTAGAGAATATCCATCAGTAGAATATCATAAAGATTAAAGACATATTAACTAGTTATTCATTCTTCAATAAGGCATGAAGGTGAGAAAAGGGGGGAATAAATCAATATTTTACAGTCTGAACCCTGAATACCTGACTTTTCATTTTAATATTAGCCATTGCAGTAGTTTTATAAATACTGTATTCCATCTTTCAAAAAAAATTCTAAATAATGTATTCCAAACTACTTAAGAACACCTCAAGTCAGGAAATAACTGTCGTTATAAAAGTGTGATTTGAGCTAGTAATGTGACATCTAAATCCAAAGCGAACATGAAAGGATTTGTAATTGCTTATTGGGATTAAACATTGCCAAAAACTCCCAAAATTGCTGAAGGGCTAACATCGTTAACCATACTAACATTATCATGAGCCAAAGTCACACTAATTATTGACTTTAACCTGGACATTGATGTGTAACCTTGTAAGGCCAGACCATACGCCCTTTTTAATAAATGTTGGGTGATCTTGATATGGCGCATCATAAAATTTTACACTTTGAATTATGTGCGTCTCATGCCTAAGTCACAAAGAAATCCTTATAACCTTTAAAATTCTTACATACACTCAGGTGCAATCAAATGTTAATTTTTACTCATACTGCTTAAATGGGCAATAATTTTCAAAATGAGAAAAAAATAAAAATAAACAAAATTTTTGCGTTTGCCTTGGTGTGCCTTAAGTCTTTTTTACAAGTCCACATTATAGTAGAATTGTACTAACAAAATAACAAATACTCCATTAACCTTTGATCAACTTAACTAACCCAAAAAAATACTCACTCCTCGAAAAACAAAGAGGCAAAAAAGGAAATTCAATACTCACCTCACCGTAGTACACTACACTACAGTGGTACCCAAAGCAGCCATGTTTGGCATATTTGCCTCTTCCTATCAACCAGTACATCAACTCTTAAATTCTGTTGATTTTTCAAACTATTTTTACAATGGTTATTGGTTAATCCCCTTAAATAGTGGGTGGTTAAACAACGCCTACACTTTACTTACTAACACCCGCATTTGTTATTAAATGGACAATTATACCCTTTTACACCCAAACCCTCCTTACATCTTGACTTATCCCTGTTTTCTTTCGCTCTTCCTCCACCACTCTTACTTCAGAAGCCACGTCAATGGAGAGAAGACAGCCCGGAAGCCACGTAACCCCCCACAACCAGAACCACCGTCTCGACTCTTCACCTACATTAACCACACGAGGTATTTTATTTATTTATTTATATTTAAGATTTTAAGTACAGTAAATTAAAAGGCACCGTCTTTGTTTCTGTTTCCGATGCTTCTGTGGTGTTGTTGAATTGTTGATGTCATGTGTTTAAAATGAGCTTGCTCTAGTTAATCTCAGAGCATAGCCAACCGTTAACCATTTATGGTGGTTATTAGGAGAGAGAATGTGAAAAAATAATTAAAAAATAAAGAGAAATTTTTTGTGAAAAAAAAAAAGCAATAACCTGGTTGTGGAATTAATCAGCTTATGAAGTCGAGGAAGATTGTGTTGTGGGGTTAGGTAAAAATAGGAGAGAGAAAATGAGTAACCAAAAATTTGTGGTTAACTATTGGGGATTTGGGGTTATAAGTGAGATGGAAGATTGATAAATTAATAAAATAAGTGATAACCACAATGGTTGTTGGCAACTATTGTGTATGCTCTCACTGATAAACGAAAAATTGTCACTGGCAATTACGTAAATATATCAACAATTTCATCCAATCACAATCAACTGTGAAGC